GAAGGTGGGTGAGAGGAGGTGTATTGTAGGTAGCTGTGGGAGTCGGTGGGCTTGAAATGGATATCGGTTTCTAGGTGGTTGCCGGAGATGGAGACAGAGAGGTCCAGGAAGGTGAGAGAGGTGTTAGAGATGGTCCAGGTGAACTTAAGGTTGGGGTGGAAGGTGTTGGTGAAGTGGATGAACTGTTCGAGCTCCTCGTGGGAGCACGAGGCGGCGCCGATACAGTCATCAATGTAACGGAGGAAGAGGTTTAGGGCCAGTGTAGGTACCCAAGAGGGATTGTTCCACGTAATCTACAAAAGAGGCAGGCATAGCTTGGGCCCATGCGGGTACCCATGGCCATCCCCTTTGTCTTCAGGGAGTGGGAGGAATTGAAAGAAGTTGTTGAAGGTGAGGACGAGTTCGGTTAAGCAGATGAGGGCGTCAGTGGAGGGGGACTGGTTGGGCCTGCGGGACAGGAAGAAGCGGAGGGCCTTTAGACCATCTGTAGGGGGAATGCAGGTGTATAGGGACTGGACGTCCATGGTAAAGAGGTGGTCAAAGAGGTGGTGTTGGGAACCGGGGAATTGGAAGTTCTGGAGGAGATGGAGGGCGTGGGTGGTGTCACGGATGTAGGTAGGGAGTTCCTGGACTAAGGGGGAGAAAATGGAATCCAGATAGGTGGAGATAAGTTCGGTGGGGCAGGAGCAGGCGGAGACAATGGGTCGACCAGGGCAGTCAGGTTTGTGGATTTTGGGAAGGAGATAGAAACGGGCGGTGTGGGGTTGGGGACCGATGAGGTTGGAGGCCGTGGGTGGTCACCTGAGATGATGAGCTTGTGGATGGTTTGGGAGATGATGGTTTGGTGCTCGGGGGTGGGGTCACGATCGAGGGGGCGGTAGGAGGTGGTGTCGGAGAGGTGGCGCCTGGCCTCGGCGATGTAGAGGTCAGTGCGCCATACAACTGTGCCTCCCTTGTCTGTGGGTTTTATGGTAGGTTGGGATTGGAGCCCCTCAAACAACCCACCCTTGAAGCTTGTCTATATGGTAGATTAATCAGTAAAGTTAGATCACGTGGGATTCCAGGAGAGCTTGTCAATTGGATACAAAATTGCCCTGTGGTGGAGGGTTGTTTTTCAGAGTAGAGGCCTGTGACCAGCGACGTTCCACAGTGATCGGTGATGGGTCCATTTTTGTTTGTCACTTATGTCATCCATTTAGATAAGAATTTAGGACGCATGGTTAGTAAGTTTGCAGATGACACCAAAATTGGTGGTATAGTTGAAGGGGGTTATCTAAGGTATCGTGAAGAAGGTTATTTAAGATTACAAAGGGACCTTGATCAATTGGGCCAATGGGCTGAGGAGTGGCAGGTAGAGTTTAATTCAGACAAATGCGAGGTATTGCATTTTGCCAAACGAACAAGAGCAGGACTTATACTGAAACTGGTCGGGCCCTGGGTAGTGTTGTTGAACAGACAGACCTATGGGTTCAGGTACATAATTCATTGAAATTGATGCTGCAGGTAGACAGGTTAGTTATGAAGGTGTTTAGCATGCTTTCCTTCATGGCTCAGACCATTGAGTATAGGAATTGGGACATCCTGTTGTAGTCCTCTTTGACCCCCTAGGAAACTGGTGAGGTCACTTTTGGAGCACAGTGTACAGTTCTGGTCACCCAACTATAGGAAGGATATTATTAAGTTGAACAGGGTTCAGAAAAGGTTTACCAGTATGTTCCGGGACTCGAGGGTTTGAGTCGTAAGGATAGGCTGGGGCTTTTTTCATTGGAGCATAGGAGGTTGAGTGGTGGCCTTATGGAGGTTTAGAAAATCATAAGTGGCACAGATAAGATGAATAGCCAAACATCTTGTTCATAGGGGGACATATTTTAAAGTGAGAGGAGAAAGATTTAAAAAGGGATCTAAGAAGCAACGTTTTTTTTTTTTACACAGAGGGTAGTTTCTAAGCAGAATGAACTGCTCGAGGCGGTGGTAGATGAAGGTACAGTTACAACATTTAAAAGACATCTGGATAGGTACATGAATAGGAAAGGTTTGGAGGGATATTGGCCAAATGCAGGCAAGTGGGACTTGTTTAGTTTGGGAAACTCGGTTGGCATGGACTAGTGGCTCAAAGGGTCTGTTTTCGTGCTGTACGACTATGGCCCTAAGCTCTTGCTATTTATTTTTAAATGTCTTGACAATTTACTTGCATAATCCATTTTCTCCCTCTTTATAAGCTTTTAAGTCATCCACTACTGGTTCCTAAAAAAAAAGTTCCAATCCTCTGGTTTACCAACACTTTTCACTGCTTTGTATGCTTTAGTTTTTGTTTGGATACCCTCCTTGACGACCTGTCAACGATGGGTGATTCATCCTTCTCATTCAGTCTTTCTTCTCAACCAAAATAAATTTTTGCTAAGAATTATAAAATATCTGCCTAAATAGGTCACTGTTCATCCACTGACTTTGCTCTTCATCCAGCCCGCCCGAGATAACTCTTTTTTTCATACCTCTGTAGCTACTCCTATTTAAGTTGAGGAATCAAGTTGGTCTCCCTTAAACTGACTTTGAAATTTTACTACATTCTGAGCGCAAACCCCTAAAGGATCCTTAACTGTGAGATCTCTTATTAGTCTTAACTCATTACACATGACTAGATCGAAAATAAACTGTTCCTGGGTAGATTCTGCAACATACTGCCCTAAGCAGCAATCCCCAATGCACTCTAGAAACTCATCTTCCAAGTCAACCTTGTCTATTTGGTTTGTCCAGTCAATATGCAGAATAAATTGTAGTGCTCTTCTTACATGCCATTAGTTCCTGGTTTATACTTTGTCCTACAGTGAGACAACTCTTTGGGCGCTTATAGAGAACTCCCACCCATGACCTCTTGGCCTTGGTATTCTTTATTTCTGCCCAAACTCATTGTACATCATGATCTATTGCACCTATCGTTGCTCACCACTGCACTGATACCTTCTGTTATTTACAAAAAGAACCTAGCAGCTCTCACTGGACAATTTTGGATGAATCTGACCACATTTTTTCTTTTCCCACCACATGATTATTTTTTGACACAATAAAATGTCACAAGATACTGCTCTAAACCAACTGCCAAGAAGAAAATGACCACGTTTCAACTTTCTATCAAAGGGCAATGGGTGGCATTCAATCAGAATGCACGCTCAGCAACTTAACAGTCAGAATACAAAAAACTAAATATGTTCCCAATAGCAATCTCACAGTCAAATCATAGAATTACCTTGTACACTTCAGCTTCCAGTTGTTGTTGCATGCTTTGATAGCTTTTCTTGACTTGCTGCTTATCTTTGATCATCATTGTCAATCTGTACAAGGGCCCTACATTCAGGTCTTCAGCATGTGTTTTCATTATTCTGCTCAACTGTTCTGTCTGATGTACCATACAGGCCCAAGACTTGAAAGCAAAAATTAAAAAGATCCAAAAGACCAAAAGTGAGCAGGTAAGTCAAAATAGTGTATTTCAATCATAAAGCATCATACTGTCTTGATTATATGAATACATTTCAATTTATTCTTTGCCATTCAGAAACCAGAATTCTATTCTTCATTTATGTTATCACATGTGCTCACAACATACGCTAGCACTTTGAAATTAAAATGGAGGAGTAAATTCTCTCAGTGATGCACTTTTCACTCATGGCATTATATTAATCTGCCAAGAGACAGGGACATTCTGAATTTAAAGCATTCATGCAGTCAAGAAACAAGAATACTAACATACCTTGGAGACATTACTTAGAGTATCCACAGGAGAAGATGTTTCATGCTTCTCCACTTGTTGGCAAACATTCTGTAGCAAGGATGCATATTCTTTGTCACTCTTAACTCGTAAAGACATAAACTTCCTCAATGTCTCCAAGACTTTAAGCTCAGATTCTTGCAGTTTTAGCAGGGCCTCATGGGAATTCCGAAGATCACTTCCAAATCCCATATTGACTAAGGCACCAGAATACCGACTGTGCTAAATGCAAATTCACCAGTTAATGATCAAAACATGACCCTTGTTCTGAAAAATAAATAAAACAGTAAAAGATATTATTCAGATTCTGTAACATAAAATACACCAAGATCAAGTAGGTATCAACAATCTTATTCTATCATTCCTCAAACCTTTGAAACTAGTGCACCTCTACGTGGAAGAGTTTGTCCCAAAATATGTACAACAAATAAATCATTGGAAATTCTTAAAATGGTATTGTCCTAAAAACAATGTTTCATGCAGTGTTCCACTCCTATTTCCCCGAGTATCCTTGGATGTATCTCATTCAGCCCTGATATTTCAATTACAGTTGGCCTATCGAAGACCCGCTCCTCGTCAATTTCAATATTGTCTGATTTATCTCCTTTCACGATAACTTGCGCAGCATCTTCTTTGATGAAGACAGATGTAAAGTATTCATTTAATACCTGAACTATGTTCTTGTGTCCATGCGCAAAATCTCCTGTACCTCCTCTTATCACCCTGTTAGACTGAGTTCTGTTTTCTGACAATTATGTATAATGATAAAGCAAAAAGTGTATGAAAATCATATACTGTTTAAATTGTGGTCAACATAAGCCTCTAACATGCCTTTGCTTGTGGCTACATGATACGGTTACGAATTACCGTCAGGTCCCATGCTAACATAAAATCAATGTTGGAGGCTCATTTTATTCCAGGACAAATGTTAGAACATTTGAAGTAAAACAGCTTTACTTTTCAAGATACAACTACTTCTTAGATTGGTTTAGCTTTTTAACTTAAAAAGTGTTCTAAAGGGAAATCGCCATTTTCCTGGAATTGAAACAATGTTATTTTGGCTTTTCATATGCATTAGCTGAATTTATTATGCTGCATCTTTAACACATATGTTGTTAATTCAGTTTTATGCATGTGCTCTGCATGGATTTTGCGACAGCGTAACTTGTACTTTTGTTATTTTTAGTTAATTTGTTCCAGGAAACAACAGTCACTGTTAAGTCACATAGTGTCAAATGGCTTATTTCGCTAAAACATACTGTCAGACTTTTGAATTAACCAGAACACTTCAATGTATCACTTAGATATTGGAATAATATTAATCATTAGAACATGACACCACATATGCTTAAAGCAATCACACAAAATTACTTTGCAGTGCCTCATTATCTTAGTTGACAGCTCTTTACAAAAAAGGGAAAAGCTCCACTGAATACTGTGTTCCTACAAATGATTGATATCTTGGGGAACTGGTCAGCAGAGAACAGCAAGTGATATCATAAAGATGACTACCATTTTCTAACTAGACAGAAAAATGGCACATATCCGTTAACGAATCTGAGATTAAGCATATGCTGTTTGTATGTTGGCAAGCCAATCAGAGCTCAGGATTTCTACTAGCACATAGGTTCTACAAGCAACCAGTATGAGAAGACAAGAAATGCAAAGAACAAAACAGGAGACAAGTGACCAGTCAGGGAGAAGTCACTAGCTGGTGTCCCAGATTAGATCAACTGAATTCACTACCTTATTAACCATTATTCACTCAGTAACTTCTGTGAAACTTGTGAAAACATACATGTATTATTAACCAGCCAGGACTGAAAGGCCTTTAAGAACTTGGTTCATAATTATATTGACTTAAGCCTTACAACTAAAATTAAACAATATAGGCCTTGCACTCCTTTTACTATTTCTATGCCAAACCATGACTTTCTGATTCCTTTGTCAATCTCTTACCAGACCATTTTTTTGCTTTTCCACTTCCTCACTAAACCTTCTATATTCAGCCCGGTGCTCAGTAGTACAGTACATCTGACATAGAGTCAGACTTGTACAGCACGGAAACAGGCCCTTTGGTCCAACTCACCCATGCCAACTAGGTATCCTAAATTAATCTGGACATCTGTTATAAGCACACTTTTTTTTGGTCTCGAGCTCTTTCATTGGCCAGGGGACTAGCGCAGTAACTTCTTTCTTGACCGTTTGGCAGCCACTCATTCCCCCTCTTCCAGTGTACTCTTAAGCTACAAGAGGATCATGCCTATAAACATGTTATCCGTGAAGTTCTCAACTTCATGGATGCACCACACTGATGCCAGCTGCTGCAATGTGCAATGCCTACTATAAATATGGTTATCTAGACTTTCCACATTGCACAGGAAGTGCATTCCAGAAGTCAAAGCAGTCCAGTCATTCCTCTATTTAGTATATTAATACTTACTAGATAGTAAACATTGTTTCTACTAACACACCTCAGAAATACTATTACACCTCACTACACTAAGAGTTCTCGTTGTTCACATCCCTCTTTTCACATAAATTAAATATAGGGAAGCTAATTGAAAATTTTATATAAATATTTAATGTTTTTAATCTCTCAGCTGCTTCCCAACTCATTACCTAACTTTGGAAAAAGGAAAAACAACAGCAAAACAAAAGCAATATTCACCAAAACCAATAAACTCTCAGCTTTCCTCCACCAAACCCAGAGATTTGGAATACTGCTGAACTGAAATAGAATTGTGGATGCTGGAATTTTGAAACAAAAAAAGAAATTACAACAGGTCTGGCAGCATCCACATAGCACTGTACTTGAAACGTTAACTGAGCTTTCTCTCCACAGATGCTGCTGGACTGCCAAGTTTCTCCAGAAATTTGCGTTTTGGAATGCTGCTAAACCGGAATCTGTCAAGGTGAGACAGTGATAGGTCACACTTCTGGCCCACAGTTTCTCTCTTCCCTGGTATTCCTGATATTTTTCAAGGTCTACTCATGTTACTCCCATACTCTCTCCAGTTATTCCAAGAGTAGTTTAACTCAAGGCTTTCTTGTGATGTCACAGTTGGCATTCACTCTCTTACTCGTGTGACCCTAACCAACATTATCCCCCTCCTAGTCTCTGCACGGTAAACCTAATCTGCTTCATGCTCATAAAGACACAGAGCGTTCAAGAAACTCAGCATGGCCTGTCAAGTGAAACAGGTTTTGAGTTCAATATGAAGTCATGTTGGACACAAAACATGAACGCCGTTGCTCTCTGTGAAGGTGTTGCCAGATGTGTACAGATTCTGCAGCACTTTGTTTTTATTTCAGAGCTCCAGAACCCACAGTATTTTGCTCTCTTTTTGTTATTTCACAGTCATCCTTAAAAACGAAGATATCACATCTGTGGTTAGATTTCCATTGAAAAATTTTAATGAAGCTCCTACGATTAGAGATCTAAAACATCTGACATAATTGCAGATTTTTAAAACAAACCACATTCCAAAATTCTTGAAAAAAATTTTCCAACATTTCAGCAGTTAAATTCTTGAGGATCCTTCCCACCCTTAAAGTAATTCAATATTTTAAAGCAGGTTCAAATATATTTGCAGCTTACATTTGTGATATAACTAAATTTTACCACACTCAGGCCAATTCCTATTTTAATATGTCAAGACTTAATCCAAGGAAACGTTACCCATATTCAGCAGTAAAACAAATGTATACAATTTGACACTCTCACAAATGAGATTAAATAGGCTTGAGATATGCACAGAAAATACAGAATCACAGTTTTGTCGTAGTGCAGAAGATGGCCATACTCCATGTTTTATTGATCATGTTTTCTACCTGTCTTGCCACCTTTAAGGATTTGTTGACATATAGACCAAGTGTCTCTACTACTCATCCTTTGGAATAATGTTTAGTTTAGTTTATACTGTCTCATCACATTCATTCTACTAAAATCTCTCTTACATTTCTCTGCAAGGAATTTCATCTTCCATCTATCCACCCACTTCACCAATCTGTGGCATTTTGAAGTTCCACGCTGTTCTCCTCAGTTTACAATTCTTTCATATTTTCTATCATCTCCAAACTTGAAAACTGTCTCCTGCAATGTATGGTCAAAGTCATTTGTATAAATCAGGAAAAGGGTCCACTACAAACCTTCCTGCTGTTTGAAAAATACCTATTTTCCATGACTGTTTCCTATCACTCAGTCAATTTTGTTCAGATTACGACTATCCATTTTACTTCATAAGCTAAAACTTTTCTCAAGTGTGTTCTGCAGTTTTGTATCAAATGTCCTTTGGAAGACAATGTACATCTATTGATAGCACTACTTTTATCAACCCGGTCTGTTACTTCTTCAAAGAACTCAAACAAGTTAGTTAAACATGATCCAAAAATTTCTGACAATTATATTTTCCCATTCCTCAATCACGTGGTCATAGCAGAACACAAAGAGGGGCCAGAAACTGCATGCAATCAAAACTTTGTTCATAAACCTAATTCAATTTTTTAAAAACATATCACATACACAAATACAGCAATGAATTTTCATTCAAATTCCCATTAATAGTAAAATGAGATAAATTAATCTACTTTGATGGCACTAGTTGAGGTGGAAAGTATGGACTAAAATAGTAGGAGAATTCAGCATTCTCCATCAAATACAGCCAAGTTCACTTCAGCAAATGTGCCACCTTCATGGGTCTTCTGAAAGACCACAACTTCCAAAAATACAAATTCTCCCTCAAGAGGAGATTGCCATTCATTTCTGACTTCCAATTATGAAGACCACCAATACAGCCCAACTGAAATTGCAGGGCCTTGATGAACTTGAAGGTAATAAGTTTTAAAAAAGTTTAAAATTTTTCTTCTTACAGAACAGCATTGTAAAGGAACGATAATGTGAACAAATCTATTTTTCTTAAATAAGTCATCAGCAAATAAAGGTCAAAGATTACAAGAGACTGCAAATCAGTTCACTGTAATTTAGCAATTTAATTACAATGTTCTAATCCAACCCATGGCTCTGCAACATCGCATGATAAATCCTCTTTACCTCATTTCCTCTTAAAAGACATAACAGTTGTCATCTCAATTAGTTCCAATAGCAAAGTCTTCAATCACTGGCTTTCCAGAGGAACTTCTTCCAGATTCATAACAACTTGATAACTTTTGCAATTTCTTCCCCCCCCCCCCCCCCCCTCCACCGCCCCCGCAACAAGTTCCTGTCAGCCATCTGGCTGAAGTTATTCCAAAGTTCACCTCACTCA